ACCTGAATCACTTCATGAATATTAGATTCTAATCTCGTCAATATATGATTAGGGCAAAGAATGTCGAGACCAACAAAACTACGTGGCCGAGTAATCAGAGCGTCTATTTGGAGATTCAGTTCACGACCGCATTACGTTAAACGACTTTAAACCGGGTATACATGTTGTTACCTTGCCTTGCCTTAGGCTCGGCATTAAGCGGATGGGACATGAAGTTAAAGGGCGTCTTTTGCAATGGGCTGGTATGATTTAACCGGCAGGGATACGTACAGGACGCACTTTACGGAGAAAGAGACACACACGTACGCACGCGCGCTCACACACGTACACACAGAAACACGCGCGACGTTAAACATCTTTAATGCATTCAATATACCTAACCCCACTATGCCAGTGAAGTTGCTGCTGAACGATGACAACTGAAATGAGAAGCCTTGTGGGTAAAGCGTTCGCTCGTCACGCCGAAGGCCAAGGTTCGATTCCCCACATGGGCACAATATGAGAAGCCCATTTCAAGCGTGCCCAGGCGTGATATTGCTGGAATATTACTAAAGCGGCGTAAAACCATACTCCTTTACTCACTGAAATGACAAAACCATTGAAGGTGTACGCAACATGAAATTCTTAACGTCATTCCCACTTGTGAAGTAACACACCACAGCAACTATCTGGGACATTAACGATCAGACTGTTGCTGCGTCATTAAGAGAGTAATGTTTTTATGCCGTTTTGGACAGTTTATCAGGTGTAACGCGCAGTGTAAGCTTAATGTAGGATGAAAGTGATCTACGTGTCATTGGTGCGCCAAAAATGTTGAGGGAAGGGAATAATCCATATGGTTTTGGCAAATGGAATTGACAGGATCATATCTGCTTCGGAGTAGGCTAGCTGGTGTTATGGGTTGGTGGCGCTGGTCGTTAAAGAGGGCGGGGATCGAAATCGAAATTTGCATGCTGCAGCGAACGTTATTAATAACGAATGAAGCCCTTTTTTGACCAGACATGCGCCAAATCGAACAATGCCAATTGGTTCCACTCATCAGAAAGTGCAGCACCGAGGGTTTTTTAGGATTTTGACGGACCAGAGGTCAGGTCATGGTGTGAGGTCAGGTCATGCTGGTCTTATTGGCATGACGGAGACGTTTCGCTGCTGGAGGAATCGGGTCACAAGGTATGCACTTCCATTATTATCTTGAAACACGGAATGTAGCCGGACACATTGTGTAGATTATACCGCGAGTGGGGCAGTGGCCTTACCCAAACATAATTGACCTGTAGCTCTGTATTGATAATACGGAGTCATGCCCAGGCATTCTGATACTACCCCATACCATTGTGGCCCCACCCCTGAACGAATATTGGTGCCTGACGTTAGCGTCTAATAAACGCTGATAAGAACGAGTCCATATACAATTCCTTCAGTCAGTGAAATGGCGAATGAACCTCGATTCGTGAGAATCCGAGAGATTAGCCAAACGTCGATTATCCCGGTGCTCACGTCAATAACGTCACCGATGTTCCTGATTCAAATGACGTGCAGAACGTTGTAGCCGTCACCCGTGAAGATCCGGGTTAGAATTGGTCTTCAGTAACCCATGCTTGTTGTAAGAGGCGATTAACGGGATCGGGTGCTCAGGCTCGCTGACTTGGTTGACATCGTCATGTTATCGTATCCCAGTTGCGTAGAACGATGCTGATGCTGTTGATCACTGGATTGTCTGGCCCAGACTCGATTATTTACAGACCGCCGCGGCGTAAAACAACCAAATCAAACCAAAACGTGACCAGGAATGTGGAGTAATATTGTCACGATTCATTTTCTGACCGCTGAATCATAACTAACTCACTCACTCACTTTAATAATTAAATATGTGAAATAAAGTGCCTTTTAGCGTTTTGTTAAAAACAACCAAACGCTTAGCTTCTGGTCACAATCGAGTCGGGCTGACACTGGTGAATCTGGCAAACGGCCATTTGCACGTGCTGTCTGAGGTTGCTGTTAGAGATTTTCACAATGTTGTTGTTTGCGAGCTTGATTTCTTCGGAAATGTTTTTGTCACATAAATCACTCACTGTCAGTGCCAGACTGATGATTGTTCCTCATTGTTTCAGCCCCAAACGAAATATCCCATATTTATTTCTATAATTTATTACTGGTTTTGTGCTAACAAATCAAAGATGAATCGGATTCGATCCCTTTGTCATTCTGGAAAGATTAACTCGAGCAATTCTACACAGCGAATTGCTGCGCTCTGTACAATATGGCGATCTGTGCCTCTGCGTCATAGGATGATGGTTGTTTTGTTAGTGATTATGATGATAATGATGTTTGTAAATATTTAGTCCAATTCACGCTCAGTCAGCTGCTCACATTAGGATTTCGTAAACTTAGAAATAATATATTTGTTTTTGTAAAACTCTGACGTATATGTTTCCTATCGAGATCATGCACGTATTTCGTGTGACTTTTTACCAATGATTTAACAGATAACGGAAGCGAGAAAAGGCAGTAACTTCACTTTTTGTGAAAGCGAAACGTCTCAAAATTAGATGAAATGATTACACAGTTATTTAGCTTGAAAGTTGAGTTTCGTGAGAAAAATATTTGCACCTGAGGGTTCACAATAACCAAACATGCATCCCCAGAGTTCCACATGTCTTACATCTAAGACAGGATAGCAACATATTAGTGCCCAAACGTCAAATTGCCTCTCAAAGAAGTTATACGTCTTACACCTGTTCTGATCATGTGGTTCCCATACTGACGATGTAATGCATTCTGATACACATCAACATGTCTTTGCACAAAGAGGAATCTACTATTTATCCACTTTTCTATACTACCTACATGATGATCTGCTCAGCTCAGCGACCTAATATTGATCCACACAGAGATCTATTGAGCAACTTATATAATCTACACAGTGACATCTATGGCGATCTACATCGCGACTTATATAATCTACAGTGACATCTATGGCGATCTACATCGCGACTTATATAATCTACAGTGACAACTATGGCGATCTACATCGGACTTATATAATCTACACAGTGACATCTATGGCGATCTACATCGCGACTTATGGTGATCTACACAGTGACATTTATGGTGATCTACACAGTGACCTTTATGGTGATCTACACAGTGACCTTCTATGGTGATCTACATCGCGACCTTTATGGTGATCTACACAGTGACCTTTATGGTGATCTACATCGTGACCTTTATATGATCTACACAGTGACATCTATGGCGATCTACACAGTGACCTTCTATGGTGATCTACACAGTGACATCTATGGCGATCTACATCGCGACCTTTATATGATCTACACAGTGACATCTATGGCGATCTACACAGTGACCTTTATGGTGATCTACACAGTGACCTCTGTGGTGGCGATCTACACACGTGACTTATATGGTGATCTACACAGTGACCTTTATGGTGATCTACACAGTGACCTTTATGGTGATCTACACAGTGACCTTTATGGTGATCTACACAGTGACCTTTATGGTGATCTACACAGTGACCTTTATGGTGATCTACACAGTGACCTTTATGGTGATCTACACAGTGACCTTTATGGTGATCTACACAGTGACCTTTATGGTGATCTACACAGTGACCTCTATGGTGATCTACACGATGACCTATGTGGTGATCTACACAGTGACCTTTATGGTGATCTACACAGTGACCTATGTGGTGATCTACACAGTGACCTATGTGGTGATCTACACAGTGACCTTTATGGTGATCTACACAGTGACCCATGTGGCGATCTACACAGTGACCTTTATGGTGATCTACACAGTGACCTATGTTATGATCTACACAGTGGCTTGTGTTATCACCTACACAATGACCTATTTGGTGATGTACACAGTGACCTATGTTATGATCTACACAGTGACCCATGTGATGATCTACACAGTGACCTATGTGATGATCTACACAGTGACCTATGTGGTAATCTACACAGTGACCTATGTGACGACCTACACAGTGACCTATGTTATGATCTACACAGTGACCCATGTGATGATCTACACAGTGACCTATGTGATGATCTACACAGTGGCCTATGTGGTAATCTACACAGTGACCTATGTGACGATATAACACAGTGACCTATGTTATGATATACACAGTGACCCATGTGATGATCTACACAGTGACCCATGTGATGATCTACACAGTGACCTATGTGACGATCTACACAGTGACCTATGTTATGATCTGAACAGTGACCCATGTGATGATCTACACAGTGACCCATGTGACGATGTAAATAGTGACCTATGTGACGATCTACACAGTGACCTATGTGATGATCTACACAGTGACCTATGTGACGATCTACACAGTGACCTATGTGACGATCTACACAGTGACCCATGTGATGATCTACACAGTGACCTATGTGATGATCTACACAGTGACCTATGTGATGATCTACACAGTGACCTATGTGATGATCTACACAGTGACCTATGTGGTAATCTACACAGTGATCTACATCACATGCACAAGTCTCCATGCTGCAGATACAAGTCTCGGCTCTGCCCCACACTACTCTCCATGCACCTTTGCCCAGACTACAAGTCTCACCTTTGCCCCACACTACCAGTACAAGTCTTACCTTTGCCCCCAGTACACACCCTTTGCCCCATACTACCGGTACAAGTCTCACCTTTGCCCACACACTACCAAGTCTCACACACTACCAGTACAAGTCTCACCTTTGCCCCACACTACCAGTACAAGTCTCACATCTGCCCCACACTACTAGTATAAGTCGCACATTTGCCCCACACTACCAGTACAAGTCGCACATTTGCCCCACACTACCAGTACAAGTCTCACCTTTGCCCCACACTACCAGTACAAGTCGCACCTTTGCCCCACACTACCAGTACAAGTCGCACCTTTGCCCCACACTACCAGTACAAGTCGCACCTTTGCCCCACACTACCAGTACAAGTCTCACCTTTGCCCCACAGTCTGAACCTATGTTTGAAGTAGCCCTCCTCTGCCGAGTACTCCACTGTCTCTAGACGTTGACGTCCTCCACGTCGCCCCACGTTCTCCAACTCCGACCAGTGCACGTACGCTCGGCCCAGACATGTTAGCCGGAGTTCTGTAGATACAATGAATCATGAGTGAATTGTGGGAAACATCAAAACAAAACTGATATACAAGGGGTAAACTATAACAAGAATGACAACCCATGTAACATCGTATTTAAGAACTCAAACACAGTATAACTCCACAGATCAAAGATACGTTGAAGTAGGTGGATATGAACACCAAAGTCGATCAACAAGCAACTGAAGTTGGCTTGATAGAGAATGTTGGAACAAGCTCTCTGCGTGAAACTGATAAAAAGAGAGTGAAGAAAAAGGATATTCAAAAGATGGATTTGCCATATAATCATTTGATTTTAATTATAAAGAGAATTTTACTTTGTGTGATTTCATTGTGGTATGAACGTTCAGAGAGTGAGGACCAAATTGTATGAACGTCGGGCCTAGCTGTAGAGTGACACTGGTGCATGGATTGAGTCGGTAGATCATATGTGATTCTTCCTTTAGTTCACAAGGATGGGTTGAAGAGTGGATATTCGATCAAGGGTATGCAGTATGTCATAGTCAGTTCAAGGGTATGCAGTATGTCATAGTCAGTTCAAGGATATGCAATATGTGATAGTCAGTTCAAGGGTATGCAGAGAGAGAGAGAGATAGGTTGGGTATGTGTATCCGTTAGTGTAGCTTCGAGAGAGTGTCTAGTTCACACGGGTGTGTGTGTTTTAACCTATACGTCTGAGCTGACATTAATGGTATACGTATATGTACAAGATAAGGGACTCTCAAAATGAAAATACACCCAAAGAGATAATATAGTAACGTTTATATGTACAACAGGTGAAAACCGAATGTGTATGGTGGTATTTAATAGGCTGCTATATCTAGATTGGACCTTTTTTTATAGATTTTTATTCAAGTACTGAAATTGCTGATTATTCGCTAAGCATTTGAGTACGTCACATGATTACACCTACATTTCCGTGTGATGTTATCACCGTGTATGTGCAGAGGTGACAATAATCCCGGCTTCGTGTCGCGGGCTACTTAACACCAATGAGCTACAGAAACATTTCGCCGTCCATATGATAACTGAGTTCAATGGCTAACATATTTTATACGCTCTTGCGCGCTCTTTAACTTGGTTCTAGGGTAACATTTAAATACAGTAGTACAGTCTTCAATTTGACATTACACCGTGAGAATTCTAGGGAGGACTGATTGCGCTTTCAGATGAAAAGGGCGACAACTGTCATTTTGCCTGGTTGTAAGCGACAGTTCAAATCCACTTCCGGGTCCTCTATTGCGTATCCCGGCCGCTCAGATCATTGCTCAGAATATCAACCACATAATCAAGGAATGAATCTTGAATGTTCATATGAGTGAAATGCTGTTGAAGGAAACGTTAAGAAAAGCCTTGTACAGAAACTTTATCTTGCTGGTATATTTAAATTCCCAATTTCTCAAGGTATTCTCTGTCTGTGTGTATAAAGGTTAGCCTCTTTAAAGAAGAAGTCATTTATGTGATGGACCACACACCAAGACCAAGGTTATTACAACTCTACTGCCTACCATCAACTCATCACTAAACAGTCTTAGTCGTATTATTCTCATTGTCCATCACATAACTGGCTTCCTCTTTATCCCCCACCCCCCGCCCCCACCCCGACCCTACTTTTTAAATCTGCATTGCGTAAACATTAACATTATTGTGTAAACAACCATTACACTTTGTACATCAACATGTCAACTGTTTAAACATATCTCTACCTACAATACTGTACCCATGCGCGAAATACGCGTTATGTTGGAAAACGCACGTTAAATTTCCAAATCATCATCAGTAGTACTTGACATCACTTGCTTGATAACGGTGTTGGCATCTACACCGAAACTACATATATTGTAACAAAGAAGTTGCATCCACAGAACCATCCCCCCTGTTGAGTATGTAGGTTACTTTCAAAGTTAATATCAGCCAGGCATGGTGTTTCAAACTGGCAGAGGAGTCCATACCTATTTATTCATTACAGAAGGTATAATTACTTATTGACGGAAGGGATGGAGGTGTTCGTGCAGGACTACCTTGACATCTCACCGACCTTTGAGTCTGCCAGATGTATACATCAGCTTTTCTGTAGATGTATACATTAGCTCCGGTAAGTGTAAATGCTACAGTCTGGGCAGTTCACACTGATGGCAACTGGGTCTGCCGATACACAAGTCACGTGGGAGATTCCATAGGCCAGCATAGTGCCTAGGCAATTTCCTCCGGGTGTTGGGAACTGTTTGCAAAGATGTACAGAGCTGCATGAAACACATTTAAGTAGACGCTGCCTCTGCAGCCATGGTCTACCTTCACTCGCCCATCGCCTATTTCCAGGTACAGTAAGCTATTGTTTACCTTGAACATCAGACGAAGCAGAACAGATGGACCAAACATAAACCGTTGCCGTAAAACACATGTACACCAGCTTGCCTTGCTGCAAGTACACCGCACCAGCAAGAAGCGTAGGTGAGAGGGATAAACAGATGTGATTATCAACACCACTCAGCCAGAGTACCTGTATTTACCTGACAGTAACGACGTTAGGTAACATGGTTACATGGCACTCAAGGCGTTTCTTGTGTAGGCCTAGTTATCAATATCGGTTATGTCATTTGTTAAGGTCAAGGAGACTACATACGTCGGCGGAATGACGACGGGTAGACGGACAGCTGGTTGGTTTGTTGTTGAACGCCGCACTCAGCAATATTCCAGCTATATGGCGGCGGTCTGTAAGTAATCGAGTCTGGACCAGACAATCCAGTGATCAACAGCATGAACATCGATTTACGCAGTTGGGATACGATGGCATGTGTCAACCAAGTCAGCAAACCTGACCACCTGATTCCGTTAGTCGCCTCTTATGACAAGCATTGGTTGTTGAACACCAGTTCTAACCAGAATCATCACGGGTCTCAGTGTAAGGTGTGAGTGAGTGAGTGAGCTTAGTTTTACGCCACACTCAGCAATATTCCAGCTATATGGCGGCGGTCTTGCAAATAATCGAGTCTGGACCAGACAATCCAAGGATCAACAGCATGAACATCGATCTACGCAATTGGGACACGATGACATGTGTCAACCAAGTCAGCAAGGCTGACCACCCGATCCCTTCAGTCGCCTCGTACGACAAGGATGGGTTACTGAAGATCAATTCTAACCCGGACCTCACGGGTCCTCAGTGCAAGGAGAGCACGTACGTACGTCGGCGGATTGACGATGGGTGGAGGGACGGACTGGTAGACGGATGTGTGTATCTTAGACGGGGAGATATTGGTTTCAGCGGTGTATAGCAATAATGTGCATTCTGTGTGCAGGCAAACCGCTAGCTGTTGGGGAATTAATATACAGTGCCACTGGGGTCCGACCGTACACCAGCTCAGCCAGGTCGAACCTCATGTCTACAGGATCAAGCTTTCAGACAGGGATACTGGGGTCGTGTTCCACCACGGAGACAACGAAGGGTCTGCCGTTAGATAGGACCCATTACATCTGTGTTGGGGACAACAGTGGATTTGTCGGAGTGGTTTGCTCCCTTCCAGGTTCATATGATCCCACATTCGACCTGACCTTGACCTGGGCTGGTAAGGGATTTGCTCGTAGGTTTCACTAAGCAGGCAAACGTCATAGCATTGCATCATGTCAGGGTTTTCTACATAAAGCAGACACACCGTCATCTGACAGAAAAATGTAAAATTGATATAAAACCACTTTCACTCGGAATGTATACGAATCTCTAAACCACTTAAATTCTAAATCTACGACTTATGTGTGAGGTCCTTTATCTCAACATAGACAGCCAGCCATGACCCCCGATAGCTGTGAAGAACGAGCTCCTGGGGTGCTCCGGCTGGAATCATTATGGTAAGCACATCCCATATATTCAGACACTAGTAAGTGAGTGTGCTTTTACAGGTTGTGACTATGAATGAATACAGATTCAATTTGCTATCCGTGACCATGAGCATACACTAGTGTGTGGAAACGGCGCCATACAAGTGGACATTATTATTATATTATTATTATCAAGGGGTGTATGCATAATTGCCCCCCTAACTAGGCAACCTGTATATGCATGCTTAAAGCATTTACACCTTTATTACCTAGGTAAATGGACAAATGCCATTAATTCATATTATTATTTATTATTTTGCTCCACTAATCAAAACATATGCAATAATCTGGCAAAATATATATTTCTTGCCACTAAGAAACGTGATTCCTTTTTCAAAGGGATATCTGTGAAATAATATTTTAGCTACAATAATGTTCTCAATGTACGTCGTGTATTTATATACAGCGCTCATGTTACAACTGTATGTCATCATCCTCTGTACCTGTATACTGGGCCGGTGGCTCCTTACCTGAATAAAAACATCACAGTGGTGATGCACTCTCAAAAATAAATTCATATCAGTGTATCTTGAAGCCCATTGTTATTTTCACATTGAAACCACAAAATATGTAGTACATTGTTTCCATGCGTTGGCAAACCTTCGTGATATTGATGACGTAAATATGTCCGTTTACAATGCAAAAATGACTCTTGCAATTCTCATACAAAGGACAGATCTGCACAAACTCATCACCAGAACAGTCAACAGCGAAGGCTCGCAAAGAACGTGTAAAACATACCTGTAAATATAGTCAGTGGCCGCCAGTTGATGAAGAATGATGACCAGATGCACAGCGTATATGCACATTGGTATACAAGCATGGCGGTTATATCTGGCCCGCTAACTATATAGATTGTATGAGAGGCATGCTGGTGGAGTGTCAGGAACGGAAGCAGGAGTATATTCCGAGAATGTGTGTGTGTGTGTGTGTGTGTGTGTGTGTGTTCGGGGGTGTATTCAATTAGGAAAGATGGGGTCGCTCTGTCTGGAGGCTCGCTGTAATATCGCAGTAAAGTTTATGTTTACTTCTGCCATAAATATGTCCTAATCTGTTTCCGGCTGGTCCCATCAGGGCTCATTGATGGTGCCCGATCAGTGTGCTTGCATTCATTGA